ACCAAGACCAGAATTGTAAACAGTTTTCCAAACCAAGAAAACTAACACTGTACTTTCGTAAAGTTTGTCCCCTCGCAGCAGCAACAGCAGCAGCAAGCACAGCACTGGCTCATAACAGGCTGGCACTGCGCGGCTGCGCACACAATCTACGGCGACCAATAGAATCAATACAAACACATGATTCCACCCCTCACAGGTGATTATGATTCTGCTGAAATGTGCTTTTGACTGAGAGCATGATAGCTTTGTTGGAGAGCCTGTCTTTTCAGAAGAACAAAACGTGCGCTCCTACTATTTCCTCACCGTTTACCCCGTTAACTGCAGCCGTGGTTGTAGGCCTATGAGCTGAATGCCAATAAATTAATATTTCTAAATTAAATTTTGAATATTTAAGGCCAATCCAAAAGGCTATTTCGCTATGTGTTCCCTCAGACTACAACGGCATAACTTGTCCTTGTGTTGTCATGTCATCTCACGTAGAAACGTAGTTGGGGGGGGGGGGCAGACACATCTGTTTCAAAATTCACGTTTGAGTTTTGTTTGTATGTGATGTTATATTGATTTTACTCATAAATTCAAAACCACCATCAGAAAGACCCACAGGAGATTCAAAGGGAACCCATATGGCTCTGATAGGTTGATATCTTTAGCCTATTAACAGCTATAGGGCTATATAAAATTAAGGCATCTTACATAATGTCAATATCAAAAAATCTGTCAATATGCCACTAATCTTTTTAAAACACCTATTAACTGGGTTTCATAAAATGTATGCACTTGGTTTAGCTGTTTATTCCAAACACATCTGGCATTTTTAAAGTTTGCCAGGGGAGGGCGCTCTCCTCTTGGTTGACAATGTCCAGCTGTCTGCGTGCCGTTGGTCTAATTTTAACAGTGTTGTATGTTAAAATGAGTACGTTAACAATGTTTGCTCTTTTAGGTGCTGCATAAATGTTTTGACTGAACGTCTACACGTTCATTTATTAAATTAGTTCAGCGAAGACAGGACATCTGGTAGGCCTAAAATGACACACATGAGAGGTTTCATGATTGAGTGCCCTTTAAATAACAATAAATTGTAACAGCCATTAATAATTGCCACAATAGTAGCCTATAATTATGTGTCATTCGGAAAATGCTTTCATTTGCCATCATACTATCATAGTAGATCTGATCAAACGTCAACATCTAACTAAACATTTTTGTAATATAATATAAAGTCTTATTAAGAATATGAGTCACCCAGCATTTTGTTTTTTTTAAAGATTGGATACTAAAAACAAAATTCTGTATTTTGGATTTCTATATTCTAGATCAATATTATTGCAAAATGACTCATGTTCATGAGTCAAGGATAGATATCCACAAATATGCCGAAAAACAGATTTCATCTGCCAATAAGATTATATCCGCTAAAAAAATTATACTAATACCTTTGGGTAGATTATCATCATGGGTTTTAGCTGCACTGAAAGCTTTTGTGTTGAATTAGGATGTAGTAATATGAAATCCAGATATTAATCTCTTAAGCCATTTATGCAGCTAGCACCATTGTTCTGTAAAATAGAGAGACATGCATGAAGAATTTAACAGATTTATTGTGATTTAATGTAAATAATTTAGTCATACACATATTCAGGTTTGATTTTCTTTCTTTTCTTTTTTTTGTCCTTTCTGTAATTATTCTTATTAAAATTTTCCATACACAGGAAATACTGTACTGATTCTTTGCTGGAAATGTTTTTTTTTTTTTTAAGCTGTTGCACTTTTTGTTGTGGTCAGGCCAGGATTAATAAATTTAATACTCCGACCAGTATTAAAACACCTCTGGTACGTACGTACACACACACACACACACACACACACACACACACATCAATTTAGATGATCTTTAATAGTTGGGTGTCTGGGTTAAATGAGACTATCACGTATCTGTACATCTCCTGACTGCTCACAATGCCAGCGATGTCACTAAATGGGACAGGCAGGCATACCCTAACTCTTAAAAGTCATCAGACCAAATTACAATGGATAACAATGCCATGTTGTGCTTGCAGACAGAGGATGTGCTAATTGTCCAGAGGACTTAATCCTCTTTTCACAGAATTGCGGAAGACTTTTTAACGATCATTAGCACCACCATTGGCCGTACTGTGTGAAGCTGTGCCTCATTGCTGTATGATTAATATCTCTGTACATCTTATACTGAATAGATTTAGAGCAAATGTGTACATCATTGTCTGTAAAGCCTATAGAGTTTTTGACTAGTACCTACTACTACCATAACGTGTGTTTACATACACTCTGAGTTGTCCTTCTCCTATTTAATCGAGTCGTGCACAGTCACTCACTGACTAATGATTTTTCAGTGTCTCTCCATTCCTGTGCTTTATGGTGTGACGTCAAAGCAGTCGCAGTGGTTATTTAGGTTGACGATGCAGTCAGTGAATATATCTGCTCCTAGTAAATGGATTAGTGTTTGATCGCACCTGAGACACCGCTGTCGTCACCTGTGATGGTCTTCGTTACATATGGAGAAATTCCAGTCTCTCAAGTCTACTCTAAATCCACATGTAGTGGGACTACATGTAATAATCTACACACTGTAAAATGAATACTGAAATTTATTTGAATACAAATATTTAGGCCTACTTATTGGAGTCCCCGCTATATCGGACCATTCACCATCCGGAGGCAGATCAACGACGTCACATACAGGCTGGAACTTCCTCCTCACTACCGCATCGCACCGACCTTCCATGTCTCACTGCTCAAACCCTGTGTTCACCCTCTGTCTGCTTCTCCCCCAGGGTCTGACGAATCCGGCGTACCTCCTCCTCCCGAAATCGCTGAAGAGGAGACCATCTACAGAGTCAATTCTCTTCTGGACTCCCGGCGTCAAGGCGGCCGCCTAGAGTATCTCGTGGACTGGGAGGGATTCAGCCCCGAGGGGAGATCATGGGTGCGTAGAGATGATGTGCTAGATCCCTTACTCCTCAGAGATTTCCATGATTCTCACCCAGATCGTCCCGCTCTCCGGGGCTGCGGCCGTCCTCAATGTCGGCAGTTGTATGTCTCCCTAATCAGACACACCAAATTTAGTTCTTGCAGTTTCTACTAACGAGCTGATGAGTGGAATCAGGTGTGTTAGATAAGGGAGACATACAAAAGGTGCAGGGCAGGGGGGCCTCCAGGACAGGTTTGGGAAGCACTGCTCTAACCCGTTTGCTCTCCGTCTCTCTCTCTCTCTCAGCACCTGTTAAATAAAGATCCCTGTTTACTTTACCTCTCCGTCCTTGGTCTCCTTCTGTACTGTGACACAGGTGGGTTGGATTAATGCAGTTTTGAGTGCAAATAGACCTATACTTAAAAAAACATTAACTCTGTAAAATAATGTTTTACAGACCGGCTATATATGTATATGGCGAAACTCACTCTAACATGCAGGTGCTCACTCATGTCTTCACCCGCTGCACTATCAAATATAAAGCATAAAATTTCAAAAATTATAAAAAAAAACGATTGAAATAAAAAGTCTAAAAAAGTATTGTTTTTATTTAGGTCTTAGAGTCTAGTAGTCTGTTTTGCAACTGTTAATTCTGTTTCTTTGTAGGAGTCTTAGCATGCACTGGGGCATGAATAAATAATATAACTGTTTGCATTTTTATTTATACCATTATTGTTAGTTGTGTTATCACATTTGGGTCTTTCTTTTCTTGTGTCTTATGTTGTCTAAGGATACATTTGTTCCTTTACTTAAAATGATCAGCTGATCGTTTGTAACACTGTAGTACACAATGTTGAGGTCATGATTGTTGAGTCACGAGTGATCATGAGTGATTTTGCATAAAGCCTTTTTAAATTGATACAAATTAAGAAATCAACTTGGAATTACTATTTACTTGTTCTATAGTCTATCATTCTAATCTTATTTTCCATTCATATAAAAACCATGTTACTTCTGCCTTTCAGAACCCAAACAAACCTTCATTTCATGGACTGGAGACCTTCCAACACTGTCTGGTAATTTAAATCAATACCCGCTGTACACGCCGATGTTGGAAATGCCTGTAGAGTGCAGCGGCAGAAATCCCATTAAGGCATGACGTTCAAACTAATAAGGGGCATGTCCTTTATCTCTGAATAGCCTCCACCCCATATGTTCTGAGTAAAAGTAGTACAGCCATAAAAAGCTGTCAAAACTAAAGAACATCCTTTTTCCATGTGACTTAGAAGTGCTGTAGGAAAAGGACAAATTGGCAGTATTTTAATGCATTTAACTCACTCTTCTGAACTGCTCTACCTTATGTGGTTTAATTATATATTGTTTTTTTTTAATCTAGAAGAGTATCTCATATATCATAGATTCTAAGTCTGAGCTTTAATGTGTTTTTTTTTTTCCTATCAAGCCCACTTTAGTTTAGAGTTTAGAACAATACATTTGGAGGAAATTATTTAATTTTGGCTTTATTAAAATGACATGAATTGTCATCTCATGCAGTACATAAATTTTTCCAAGATTCTCTAGTTTTGCTAGATGGACCAAGGTATTACATACTACTAACTTTTTTTTTTTAAAGGATTACATCTGATTTCATTGCATAAAACTATGCTTTGGTTTATGTTTAGTATAATTTTAAACTCAAACACTAATTGGAGCTGTGGTCTAGTGGTTAGTGCATAGGTTCCAGATGTTCAGCTGCTCTTGTGGATTTGAGCCTGGCATGTCATATTCCCAACTCATTCTTCCCCAGATAGCCATGTCATACTTTCATTATTCTTGCAATGTAAGCATTTTTTTTTTACAGTAAACCATGATTTATATTAAACTCATATTGTTTTGAAACTGACCCACACTGACCTTGGCCTCGTGTTCCAGGATTAGTGCTTCACCACTTTATCTTTCCACAGTCAATGGCCTCCAGACTCTGACTAGGTTCTTTTAATACCCTTATTCCTTGTAATCGCCTCTGACTGCACTGTCGTGAAGGCAGTGGTTTGGATTTATACTTGATTGCTTAATCTGTTGTTTGAAAAGGTTTACACAGAAAGGCTTCCTGCCCACACAGATCTTAGCATGGATGAGAACCGGAGCAGCTCAAGGCCGGCATCTTCCCAGTGCCATTCCCCTCCTGTGAACCCCTTGAGAAATATGGTGCAATATTTCAAGAACCTTATCAAGAACTCAGTATCTCCAAAGTTTCGTGTATGGGTAAAGGACTACTGCAGAAGGAACGGCTTGCTCACCTTATCACTGTTAGCAGTGATGTCGGGTTGTGTAGTGGGATTCACATTAAGAAGCTTGAACTTGTCAACACAGGTAATGTGGAACATAAAGCTTCAAATTTGTTATTGAAGAATCTGTTTTGAGTCCTAACATCAGCAGTGGACTGGTGTTATTTTAAATAGTTTTTTGGGACAAAAAAATGCATTTGTTTTTTTATCCTTAGAACAGGTTAAAAGGTTGCTCATTTAAAATATAAATTGTGTGTGGCTTTTAAAAATGAATGCGCTAGCAACTTAACATTAAGTACAGTCATTATAGTAATTGAATAAAGAAATGGTCCGGATTCAAAACAAGTTGAACTCTATTGGCATGTTGATTTGCACAGACAATAATTTAGACTCATCACTAAATAATGAAAAAGCTGAGTTTACATTAATGCACTTACAATGAAAATCTATGGCACAAAGCAGTGCACCAGGACAAATACACACTGTAGCCACAAAACCTTAACATTATTCATGTCTAATATGATTAAAATCACGTATTAACCTTGTGTGTGCAAAGTTATATCCAATTTTTCACAATATACTCAAGAGTACCATAAGAACTGTTTACATCAAATATGTAAAGTACATCAGAAATTCATAACCAGAAGTGCAGTTGCCTTGAACAGTAGTGCAGTTGCTGAATGGACGATATAGAAAACTTTACAAAACAAATAACACGGTGTAACAACATTTTGTAAAGAATAATTAATATAAGGGCTTTAACAATAATTTTTTACCACATGTGCTGTCAATAGCACTTTGCTTCTTTAGAAGCTAGAACGCTCCTTTAATTGTAAGATGTTTTTGATGACCTTTGCTCTTGAAGCCTGATCAACATATCACATATACACAATATATTTTCCAGCCTATGTGGCATATGTACTCAAAACTAGGTCTTAGTCCTGCTGTGACATCTGGCTTTTGTTACCCACAAATAAAACTCCAAACAGCTTTCAAGGTCAACTAAGGAGAAACACGCATTACTTAAAGTCAACTGACGTAATTCTCCAGGGATATTACAGAAATAGTAAATATTGAAAGTAATTAATTCTAGTAGAGTTTAAATGTTTGAAATGAATTGAAATCTTTTAATAGCAATGTCACTAAAAGCCATGTTTTCTCTTTTCCCTCAGGCAAAAATCTACTTTTCTTTTCCTGGAGAACTTCTAATGAGAATGCTAAAAATGTTGATTCTTCCTCTCATCACATCCAGGTAACTACACAGTACACACCATATCACTGCTTTTTAGTTCTTCACGTTCATTCAAGATGTCAGCATTCCTGAGACCAAACACATTTTTGAAAACCTTACAAAATATCTTTCATCAGAAAAAAATGTTCCATCATGAGAAATTCTTCATTTCTGAAGTTTTAAATCTTTTTCAATTAATAGTGGGATAGTTGATTGTTATAAAAGGAATATAGAGTCTAAAATTTAGAAGAAGAAAAAAAAAAACACTATGAGAGTTACTTGAAACCAATATGGAGATGAGTTTCAGTCAGCCCCTATTAAAATTAAAAAGAAAAGTGTCTGCATTTAGGGGAGGTAGTTATATGTGAGATATTTGATGTGATATTTATAATAATGATTGAAACGCCAACACTTTCCTTACAGTTTAATGTCTGGCTTGTCTGCTATGGACACCAAGGCCAGTGGACGCCTGGGCCTTCTCACCATCACATATTACCTGTGGACTACCTTCATTGCTGTAATCGTGGGGATTATTCTGGTACTGATCATTCATCCCGGAACCGGCACTGAAAAAGAGGGGCATAAAGCCCCAGGAGGGCCAGTGATGACGTCTGCTGATGCCCTGCTTGATTTGATCAGGTAACTTCACAATAATAACAAAACCTACCTCTCAGTTTTTGGCAGAAACAGTATAAGGGAGAGGAGACAGACCACTTGTAGAAATATGAATAGGATATGGCAGCTGTAGGAAAGGAAGTCCCGCCCTTCAGTTAAAACAGCCAATAAGCTTATTGGTATATAGGTGGCATTTTGTTTCATTGCTCTGCAAATGCAAATACACATTAGCTAGAGAAACCTGAAAACCACAGTTTCAACATTTTCTGTCAGATATATTGGTTATTTCAAATGTGTTATTTATGTTAGTTTCTCTATTCAAGCAGAAAAGAACTGTACTTTCATCCTTAGTCTTCCTTAGTGAGCGTTTTTAACAAAAAATTTTCGAATACCACACTTCAACCAAGTCCCTTTTAAAGTAAGTCAGTCCAATATGTGTCTATAGGGTAATTGCCAAGATGGCCGTCAAGTGGACTGGCTTACCTTAAAAGGGACTTAGTTGAAGTGTGGTGTTAGAAAAAATGTAGAAAAAATATTGTTAAAAAACATTCCTTTTCCCCCTTACTAAGGATGACTAAGGATGAAAGTTTAGTTCTTTTCTGCTTGAATAGAGTATGGTTAAAGTGTGGAGTTGGACAAAAATGTAGACAAACAAGCTTTAAAGTATTTTCTTTAAAGTCAATGTGAAACCAAAATAGATTCCATTTATGTTCTTAATTTGTTCATTTCATTCTTAATGTTTCTTTCTTGATCATATTGCAATTCATCAGTGTTTGTCTTTATAACGTTAAATTAGAATGTAACTACTTGCTCATTGTCTTCCTTTTCCACCTCACTTAGGCAGAAATATAGTGAAAATAGTGTTAACCAATAGACAAACAACTGTTTAGGCATTGTTTCAGCAAACTAGCATTTAACATTCTGGTATATAATGTTCACAAAATCCAATCAGTTCCCCTTGGATAAAATCAAGTTCTGCTCTGCATTATTTCTCATTCAATATCCTGTTTCACCTTTTCTCTCAGTTACATTTTAAATTTTTTGTCTTGTATAAAACACATCTGTATTTTATTTATTTTATTGACTATCCCATTCAAAAAACAAACTGTAAGCAATGCATTTCATTTTTGTTGATCAGTCTAAGAAACGCCTTAAACTTACATAACCGATTTCGAGCTGTAGTCCAGCTTTCGAGGCTTAAGCTTCCCTTTTGCTCTATCCTGTCACTGGACAGAAGGATTGGAATTAGGTATATTTAGAGAATGACACAGCTTTTCCCGAGTGCGAAAGATGCTCCTAAGCTCCGGACCAGATTTAATTGGATTGTAGTCAGGGACACGCCAGTAGAATTGGTATTTTATAAATAAAGCATTAGCCGATAGCCTCTGTCCTCCAAGTCTTCAGGCTGAGATAAATCATACCAGCTTTTTTTTTTATTATTTTATTTAGCAGGCCATGACACAGCCTTGTACAATACCTCAAATCAAGTAATTCTAAAACAAACAATGTGTAATTTTTGGCATGTGTTGGCCGCAGAAAACAGTCTAATAGTGCACACTATACTCTATATAGTATACACTGTATTTAAATCTGTGGCCTTATGTATGACAGGTTTTGTGTGTTTTTCCAACAGGAACATGATTCCATCCAATCTGATTGAAGCCACATTTCAGCAGGTGAGAGAAACACATGAAGAACAGAGGAATGAATCATCTACAGTGTTTTGTATCTAATCCATGTCCATCTGTGCTCTTCTGTTTCAGTATAAAACAGAGCTTGTGCCCAATTTTAAAAACAGCGAAAAATCATCACAAACCAACTTTGTGTACATCATGCCAGACTATGAAAACCCCAAAATGGGTCACCCAGTGTTTCTTGAACTCACTCCTCCTCCTGAAATCCACTACAAGATTGTACCAGGGAAAAGCAATGGGATGAACGTGCTAGGAATCGTCATTTTCTCTGCCACTATGGGTGTGTATAGTAGAGAACTGTCTTATATTACACCATAACCCTGCTGAAAAGATCAGCTTAGATCAGATTATGCTGGTTACTGTTGATTTGGGGTTGTGGTCAAGGGGTTCACCAATCAAGCTAGCTGTTTATAGCTGGTTAAACTACTTAAAAAGCCTAATGGGAACACCAGTATACCAGCATCCCATGTTGGGGACTAGTGTCCAAAATACTGTACAACATACAATGTAGACCATCAGTGCTGATTTTTTTCAGCAGGGAAGCAGATTTATTGTACAATTTAAACAGTTTAGATCAACATGACAGAGTTTTTGCAGCTCATTTACTAAAATAGGATATTTAACAAGAACATGTGGAGCGGGACTTAATCCATTGCATCAGGTATTAATTGGATTTTGAAAAAGTGGTGTCTATGAAAGAAGGCTGATAGATAGAGGGATTGAAAAATAGGAGGGATTTGTGATTTCTAAATTGAAAAAGACTCTAAATACTGTTCAACATTTTTAATTTGCATTTGTAACTAAGTCTCAAGTGCTCAACAAGGGTGTGTGTATTTGATAAAAAATATCATTTATTAGATTTTTTTTATTTTATTTAAATATTATTAGTTTTAAAAAGCTGTTTTCTATTTTAATATATTTTTAAAAATTAATTTATTAATCCTGTGATGGCAAAGCTGAATTTTGTTCTTTAGTCCTTGCTAAATAAAAGTTATACAAGTTAATAACTTGAAAAAAATTAAACTTGAAACTTAAAAAAATATTTTTTTTTCCCAGGTCTTCTGCTTGGTAGAATGGGATCCAGAGGTTTACCTCTAGTAAATGTGTGTCTTTGCATCAATGAATGTGTCATGAAGATCATCAATGCTGCTATGTGGTGAGTAGATGTGGATTGTGAGAGATTTGTAATGTCAACTATTACAGAAATGTACACTATTAGACATACTACATAACTACAAGGACAGTCATCACATGTTTTGTCATGCAAACCTGTGAAAGCAGCAAGTGACTGGCAAATAAAGCATAATCCCAGACCAAAACAAATTAAGAGCCAGCTGTCTCTTTGATACACTCTAAAAATGCTGGGTTGTTTCAACCCAATGTTGGGTCAAATATGGACTAACCCAACTGTTGGGTTAAAAAGTTAATTTAAAAATGTAACCAAAATTTAACCCAACAGTTGGGTTAGTCCATATTTGACCCAACATTGGGCTGAAACAACCCAGCATTTTTTAGAGTGTACACACTATAATACGTCAGTGTAATAGTTTAAAAGGAGCTCTAAGCCTCCTCATTCTACTAAATTAGGTTGGCAGTGGAAAGGTGTTCTGGTGTACGAGAGTCAGAGGCCAACTGAGAAGCTGATTTAGTCCGTCAGTAATGCATTTAAAACTCAGTCAAGTGCATGCACCTACAATATGCAAATTATTAATATATTTTGTTTTAACACTCCAGTCTCTTTGTACAGGTACTTCCCATTTGGAATCGTATTTCTGGTTGCTGGGAAGATCCTGGACATGCATGATCCTGCAGTCCTTGCGGAGAAGCTGGGGATGTACTTCATGACTGTTCTGGCGGGACTGTTCGTCCATGGTGTGATTTTGCTGCCACTGTTCTTCTTCCTGTTCACTGGGAAAAACCCCTTTAGCTATATCCGTGGCCTCCTCCAGGCTCTGGTTATCGCTTTGGCAACTTCATCCAGGTAAGGAAGCCGGTTTGAACAGCCTTTCAGCTCGATGCAACAGAAACAAATGTTAATCCATGAACTATTTCAGGGAATAGTTCCATTAAATCACATTCAATTGAATAATTAAAGTGTTTTTTCTTGTGGTGTTCCAAGGGATTATGAATCTTAACATTTCTAATTATACAATTTGAAATAAGCAACTTATATTTGTATATTTAAATAATCCTTCTCTTTCCAGTTCAGCTACTTTGCCCATTACAATGAAGTGCTTACTGGAGAACTGCCACGTGGATCGGAAAATCGCTCGATTTGTACTTCCTGTGGGTGCTACTATCAATATGGATGGCACAGCACTATATGAAGCAGTGGCAGCCATCTTCATTGCCCAGGTCAATGAGTACGAGCTTGACTTTGGACAGCTAGTTACTATTAGGTAAAGTATTTCAGTTACATTCAGAAAAATATACATTACTGGTCAAAAGTTTTGAATAACTAAAACTTTTACGTTTGAAAGAATTCCCTTATGCTTAACCACGGCTGAATTTATTTGATTTAAAAAATAAAAAAAACAGTAAGACAGTAATATTGTGAAATATTATTATATATATTAAAAGGATTTTTTTTCCTGTGATGGCAAAGCTGAATTTTCAGCAGTCATTTCTCCAGTCTTCAGTGTCACATGATCCTTCAGAAATCATTCTAGTATATTAAAAATAAATTATTTTATTCACACATTAGATGCATTAAATAGATCAAAAGTGACAGAAGACATTTATAATGTTAAAAAAGATTTCTATTTTAAAAATGCTCTTTTAAACGATCTATTCATCAAAGAATCATTTCGTTTCCACAAAATAAAAATTTCAACACTGATAAGAAGAACCATTATAATAATTGAGCACCAAATCAGCATATTAGAATGATTTCTGAAGGATCATGGAACCCTGAAGACTGGAGTAATTGCTGCTGAAAATTCAGCTTTGCATCACAGGAATAAATTACATTTTATAATATATTAAAATACAAAAAAAAAAAAACGTTTTTTTTTTAATTGTAATATTACTGTTTGTACTCTATTTTTGATCCAATAAATGCAGCCCTGGTAAGCATAAAACACTTCTTTCAAAAAACATTAAAAATTATTTAATTCCAAACTTTCGACCAGTAGTGTAGTGACAAAGCTGCATGTTCCAATGAAGCTGCATGTTGACTTTGACCATCTATTCTCAGTATCACAGCTACAGCGGCAAGTATCGGAGCAGCTGGAATCCCTCAGGCTGGTCTTGTTACCATGGTTATCGTTCTAACCTCAGTGGGTTTGCCTCCAGATGACATCTCACTTATTGTAGCTATCGACTGGATCCTGTAAGTACAACACACTTAAATACTACAGCATATACACCACAAGTAACTCAATGAAAGTCAATCTCAAGTATCATTTTTCATCAGGGACCGATTTCGAACAATGATCAATGTGCTTGGAGATGCGTTAGCCGCAGGAATCATGGCTCATTTGTGCAGAAAGGACTTCCAGAAAGACATCCCATATATAAAACAATTTTTTTAAATGTTCATCTTCTAGAATTGCCTTAAATGCAAAAGTTAATGACAGACCACAATAATATCACAATAATAAAACCATGTCCAAAAGGTAAACATTACACAACTAGTAAGTCGACTGGGGCTCCAGATATGGATCATCAGTTGCCTTGTCATACAGTGTACGGTGAAGACAAAATATGATTTGTAATGATAAGAACAGAGATGGTGTCTCTCTTCATTATGTTCACAGTTCAGAATCCCTCTGTTCAATTAATCTGGGATGGGAAGTCGCTGTACACTGGAATTACAAATTGTTTATTTTCTTAATAAAAATTTTAACATTGTTTTATTATTCATAAAGAACAAGAACTACTGGTTATTGGTTTATACTTTAAACCTAAAAGATACACCTATAAATCATATATCACCAAAAACCACCTCTAATCACAAACTAAAAATGTGTAGAAAATGGTTTAAAATGGAAAAACTTTATGAAAATTTTACCCCGATATTGATTTTTCAGTATACTAATACCAAGACACAAATTTCCAGATTTGCAAAGATGCCCTATATTTTATTTCACAACTACGTTAGACAGTTGCTCATAACAGATGTTCACTGTAGAATCAAAAAGTATTTCATTAAAAAATTAAGACACACCCATCAATATCAACACATAAAACCATACACAATAAGCTAAATAAATAAATTCCACCATTCAATAACCTTACAGTATTTCCTACATAAATTAAGGCTTAAAACAAGCAACCATCCAGTAAATTCTACTTGATATTTCTCACAAATGGCATCTCTGTTGACTCTTAAACATTGGGAGTTTTTAATCTTTGAAACATCATGATATCAAAAAAAGATGGTTGCTATAATTACTACTAATTATTACGAAATCACTTTTTAATATTGCACATATGCCAAAACGTGCACAAAAAAAAGAGAATGCCAAGGTTAAGTGTTTCATATCAATGTCGTGTAACCAACAGTGGCTGTAAAGCTGCTAATAGGTTCACATGAACCATGAAGTAACAGATGACACTGGTTGATCCAAGTATAGTAAACTGCTGCTTAGTGCTTATAACAACTTGACGAGATAGAATATAGTGTCACTGTACAAAAACAGACAATTAGGATTAAATGTCAGTCACCAATAATATAAATATTTGCACGCACACACACAATACCAACCTTAAGTCTTGTAGCAGAGGGAGCATAAGCACTGTCTGTGCTGAAAATAATCAAAAATCTTACATGAGGCATTGTGGAAAATTAATGGGATATTCTAACTACAGGAGAATTTATGTGGGGTTTACAAGCTTCTATTTGGAAGACCTCACGGGGAGTCAAAGCTGAGGGGCATGACTGTACAACCGTGAGACTATGAGTGAGCCTGCTGTCCTGTTTTTAGCTTCACCACTGCTCATCAGCGAGATCTACAGCTGAAAACCTCTGGAACAAGTTGAATATGAACCACTAAGGATGGCTAAATAAACAGCACTCCAGTGGCCAAATCAAAGTCAACCATTGTCAGATAGCCAAGTTGTATATTTAAGATTTGGTCCAATGCCTGACATACTAATACTAAAAGTCCTCAAAATACTCAATTAAAATTAAAATGTGGTTATCTAATATTTCTCATGAGGTCTTTGTGGACTAAAAACTCAGTTGACTGCATCTATAAATATGGAAATAGTCTTGCGTTGACTTATACTGCACCTATAAATGGATAAATTAAAGAACTAATTAAAAGATAAAATAAAGAAACAAAACAAAAAGTTGAGCAAAACAAAATAAAATTTAATGATTGTAAATGCCATGTGAAACAAAATGAAAGATTTCAAAAGGAAACAAAAGCAAAAGAGAAAAGAAAACACAAATATCACAAGGCAGTCTTAAAAAAAAAAAAGCACATGCATTAGTACTGGATATCTATTTTCAAATAACCAACCTAAAAGTATGTTTTAGCCTAGAGAAACAAAAACGAAAGCAAATGCAAACCATAAACATAAGATGCTGATGCTCAAATGTTATTACATTTTTACATAAATACTCAGTATCTAGTATTCAGATGTCCAAATCTTTTTGGAATATGCTTAGGGATATGCAACCTGCACCTCTGCTGGGGGAAGCTAAACCTTCCATTCATGTCTTTGGTCCATTCATGTCTTAGTTATCAGTCTATTCAGAGGGTCCCTTGCAAAAAATTAACAAGTCAGTTAAAGATTTTCCCCTCACGGGCTGTTTATAGACAGTCTGCTTTCTTTACCATTACCTCTTTTTCTCAATGAAGCACTCAGCATGCTACATTTAAAACTCAGATTTTAATAAACAAATGAACTGTTGTGAGACGGATCATGATATTCCTGCCAGACCAAAAAGTGCTACATTACTGAGGGCAAAGAGGAAAAACAACATCAAATTAAGGCATCGTAAATACTGAAGAGCTATGTAGGATGAAGATACTGACAAAAAGACAAAAATCTGAGTTTTAAATCCAGCATCTGGTGAATGAGGTGTCCGACCACATATGGCACATAGCAACAATATCAGGCTAACATCAGAGACACAAATTTGTATCAAATGCGAAATTGGTCAAATATTGGGATAAACCAGAACGCCTAAAACACTTGCATTTGAAGCATCCAACAGCTTAAATCTTAAAAGAAACAAAAAGAAACTGTCAAACGAGGTGTCTAAACAAGACTTAGAAACATGAACATTTGCAAAGACTTGATTACACTAAAAAAATCATTTTTCTTTCAAAACTGCGCCAATTTCTCTGGCTTCGCAGACAACATCCCTCTCCTTCATTTTCCTGGCAACCCTACTTTCTACTTGTGCGACTTGCTTGTTTTGAACGACACTTGTAAAATCTTGTCCCCGAGGCGGTAGCCGTTGAGGCCAGCGATAGCCATGGCTGCCTCTTCATAGTTTGGCATGGTAACAAACCCAAATCCTTTGCACTTGTTGGTGTTGAAGTCGCAGATCACTTTCACATTTGTGACGGCACCGAACGGCCCGAACATCTGCCACAGAATGCCCTCATCTGCATCCTGGCCCAGGTTGTAAACGAAAATACACCAGCCTGACGAGGAGTTTCCAGGCATGTTAACTCCAGACATGCCACTCATGTGGTCCACACTCATTGGAGAGAACCTGAGGACAGGAAATCACAACTTTCAGTTCATCAGATTCACAAAGTGTTTTAAAGACATTTTTGGGAGAGAGATCCATTTAGGAACGATGTGGTAAGCAAGCAATGTCTGACTTCATTCACCTGAATCTCTGGGCCTGGTGGTGGACGGGCCCCCCAAAGCGGCGAGGCTGTGTGTGGTAAGCAGGTGGAATAATTTGTGAGTTTTTCACTTGGTTGGGACTGGCAGCGAACTTTACAGTGATTGGCTCTGCAGCTCCTGGCGGCTTCTGCCCATTCAAGTCCTTAATTGCGTCCTCTGCCTCTGCTCTCTTGTCAAACCGAATGAAAGCCACACCACGAGAGAGTCCTGCAATAAGAATAAATTGTAAGCACTTAAATGCACACTAAGACATTCCAAGTGTGACAGACACAACTATGCTTATCTACCAACCTGACACTTGATCGACGAGGACACGGGAGTTGATTATTTTGCCATAACGTGCAAACATTTCTTCTATGTCCTTCTGCGTCATTGTTTTAGGCAGCCCACTTATGTAAAGGTTGGCATCCTTTATGGTATCAGAGCTTGGCCTGGCATATGACACCTGTCAGGAAGAGCAAAGTTAAAAGATCAGATCTTGAAGAAACACCTCCCCTGGAGGGGAATCATCTAAAAAACTAAATGTAAAAAAAAATTTAGATACAAACTTTTGCCATTTTTTCAAACTGATTTTTTTTAACTGCTTTTTTTTTTCTAATTAGGGACACCCCCAATATGTTGAAAAAATTATTTGTACCATGTTTTTTTCCCTACAAATATTAAATAATATTACTTTATAGAAATAGAAAAACAATTAGAAAATATTCTATAGAATTCAAAAACGCATTAAAGCAACCTGTAAAAAAAATTAATAAAATAAAACTCTTGAAATTGATAGATATAAATATTGAAAAGCCTGATAAATGGCCACAACCAAGATGCCATCAGGTCTGAGCAATTCAACAACTTTACTTTGTTCTCGCTGCCTTGTTGTCAAAACGGCGATCTGAACTGAAGCAATGACACATTTAACTTTACACAGGAGCACCTTTTGTCACATTACCTTGATAGTTTTAGACTGTAGTCTCAGTCCATTGAGAGTACTGATTGCTCTTTCTGCATCACTAGGGTTAAGATAGTTAACAAATCCGTACCCTAAACTGTGGCCTAGAGAAAAAAAAAAAGGAAAACAATAAAACAAACAAAACAAAAAAAAAAGTTGAAACGTTCCAAATACAAATGAAAAAAACATCCTAATATCAAATGTTAAACTTCTGGGGAAAAAAATTTTATGCCACCAAACAAATAAATCCACACTGACTTACACATATGTGGGAAAGGCCTGAGAAAATAAACTAACAATAAGTAGTTTTTTGTGTCAACACTGAAATGAAGGCTACACAATTGTAAATAAACACTTAAGTGCATCTGAAGTCGGAAATCTTTTAAAAACTTTTTAGCAACATCACGGCTATATGCAAACCCCGCAAATAAAGATACTGCATCCCTAAAACAGCGAAGACTAAACATATTTTCTCAGATCTTCCTCTCAACACTTTTTTTTGGTCTAATTTGAAAGCAGTGTGCCAAGTGCTAATAAATACTTGCCTGCTACTTTGTCCCGAATAAGTTTAGCAGACTCCACCTCCCCAATGCTGCTGAAGAGACTCTGCAGCTCATCTTGGCTCATATTCTGAGGCAAGTAGTTGATGATGAGGTTTGTTTTGCAATCTTTAGGCTCATCAGCCATGTGATCTTCGTAACCGTTCGACATGTCATAGACCTCCTGGAAATATTAAAAACAAGTTTCTGTGAAGGTTATACACAATGAAAGCAGAAATCAACATTTAATTGGGACTATTTAATGTAAACTCATTGTGCACTCATATAAAACCTGGGAAAATGCTGTAAATAGTATTACTCATTTCTTGCTGTTGGTACCTGACAGTTTTTTGTTGTATAAAGAAAAACATGCAATTTAAGAAAATTAAATTAAAAACACTCCTATACATTTGTGGGAGATTACATTAAAGGTCCCATGACATGCTGCTTTTTGGATGCTTTTATATAGGCCTAAGTGGTCCCTAGTACTGTATCTGAAGTCTCTTTCCCGAAATTCAGCCTTGGTGCAGAATTTCAGCCACTACGAGCCAGTCCCACAATGAGCTTTCCTTAGGACGTGCCATTTCTGTGTCTGTAGCTTTAAATGCTAATGAGGAGGAGAGAGGCGGGGCAACTGCCATGCTTCGCTCTTTGCAAGCCATGATGTCTCTCGAGGAAAAAAAAATATTGCGCTCGCCTCGCACGGTAGTAGCTCATTTTCTCATGGGCGGGCCAAATTCTCTGGGCGGTCAAAGCAGAGAAAGGGGAGGTAACCTTTCCCCGTATGACGACATAAAGGGAAGATTCCAGATTGGGCCATCTGAGCTTTCATTTTCTCAAAGGCAAAGCAGGATACCCAGGGCTCGGTTTACACCTATCGCCATTTCTAGCCACTGGGGGACCATAGGCAGGGTAGGGGAACTCATATTAATGTTAAAAAACCTCATAAAGTGAAATTTTCATGCCATGGGACCTTTAACATTATAATACTTAAAAGCTAGCCTACATATTATTGCCTTTTTAAATATTTTTTTAAATCAGACAAACAAACAAAACAGTTTTATGGCTAATTTGTGAATTGTGTTTTATATTTTTCTCTAGGGTAGAAATAATGCATCTGTACAAGAGTAGTTCTTACAAATGCATCAGTGATTACACAGAAAACAGGTATTTTATTCATTTACATAACATTAATTCCACATTCCCACTCTACATGACACAAATAAACAAAAACATCACACCTCTGGAAAAAAAAAAAGGGGAAAATGTTAAAAACCATAATTAAATACCTTAAACCAGGAACAGGAACAAAATTGCCTTTCAGAGCATATTTTACCTCTGTCTTACTAATATGTAACCTACAAAATCTGCCTTTAACCAGTTTGTTCCCTAAATTTAAAAGTCCAATATATCACAAAAATTAACTGAAGTGATTAAGTGATAAGAATATATACCAGGCTAAGATAGTAAAAAAATAAAACAAATATGTGACCCTGGACCACAAAACCAGTCATACGGGTACATTTTTCGAAATTGAGATTTTGAATATTGAATAAATAAGCTTTCCATTGATGTATGGTTTGTTAGGATAGGACAATATTTGGCTGAGATACAACTATTTGAAAATCTGGAATCTGAGGGTCCAAAAAAAATCAAAATATTGAGAAAATCGCCTTTAAAGTTATCCAAATTAAGTTCTTAGCAATGCATATCACCAATCAAAAATTAAGTTTTTATATATTTACAGTAGGCAATTTACAAAATATCTTCATGGAACATGATCTTTAATGTCCTAATGATTTTTGGCATAAAAGAAAAATCAATAATTTTGACCCATACAATGTATTTTTGGCTATTGCTACAAATATACCCCAGCGACTTAAGACCACAGGTTTTGTGGTCCAGGGTCACATGAGCAAAAAGACAGATACAACTATGTCAACTGGACTGCTGTTATTTTACATGCTATGATCAACACCGCCTCCAGTGGAGTCTAGCTGAAACTGCACGTGACCAATTTATTTGACACAAAAAATAAAATAAGTTCGTGTACATTAAAAAAGGGGTCTTGAATGTCTAATGGCACTCCATCAAGGCAAGAAAATGATCACTAGGGTGACCGTGATTATTCTGATATCGGACAGTGTCCCATTCATATTAGAAGAGGGGTCTTATTGTGTATTCCACACGGGTAGCCAGTCAACCTTCAAGGCTGAAACAAACAAGCATTATTACTGACCCTCCCACAACCCAACACTGGAAGTTTTGATAAAGTGGTCTGAATCGCTCACTCTCTATCCAACTACTTCAATCGTGAGCTGGCTCTATAAGCATGGTTAAACTTTGCAGCACTTGCCAGGTCAAATACCTTCAACTGACTTTATGCAACACCTAATAAGATGTCTACTAGTGCATCTAGTTAAAAGCCTACCTCAGATGAGAGCATTACACCTTAAGTATTGCTTGCTTATCACACAGGCTACAGCACTACATGGACGAAAACAGCCAACAAGCACTAAGCACTAGAGCCCGACCGATATGGGTTTTTTGGGGCCGATACCGATATCAGGGAGTAAAAAAAAATGCCGATATCGATATATCAGCCAATATTCTTTATGTATATTATAGTACAGTACCAGTCAAAAGTTTGGACACTTTCCCATTCGTGTGTCCAAACATTTGATTGGTACTATATACTGACCACCACACAGAATATGAAGAATATTAAAAACATTATGAGTCAGCTGTCTTCGGCAGTCCTTAAGGTACCAGCACAATAACACTCTCAGCAAAATATAGTCTAATTATCATCATCGATAAAATCCCAGAAAATATCGAGATATTATTTTTTGTCAATATCGCACACCCCTACCCTCCGCGTGTCGGTAGCCCCCCGGGATCGCTTGATTGGTTGGAGCTGGACCGCGAATTTAACCACCCCTAACTCCCAAACCCCGGGGGCTATCGACATGGGGGTGGTCTCATTCGAAATTCTCTAGACGTACACTCAATTCCTCGAGCTGAAGGGATCCCCCGAATTTGGTGCAGATTCGCCACGCCGTTACGGAGATATGGCCGTTCAAAGTTTCAATGGTTTCCATAGACTTAAGCTTTAAAGCGTTTCATCCAGGTCGCCAGTAGCAAACAATGGAGCGTGCTCT